CGTGTCTTCTCCTAAAGATAGAAAGACGAGATTTGGTTCATAGAGAAAGAGGCTTAATTGGTTTGCAATGCAAGGTATTGTGTTAACTGTGTTGTGGGAGCAATGAGATTGATGCTTAAAGGAAGAAAGTGCATTGATTGCATTGGATATCTAAAGAGAGCGAGAGGTTGGAGTATTGAGCAATGTTGAGATCAAAGATGAGATCAATTGAGCCTAAGATTGAGGCTGAGCTTGAAGGAATATGTCGTAACGCTGGATATTGGCGGAGATTATTTAGGGACACGAGCTGAGTGCGGAAACAACCTAATTCTGATGGCTAGTAGTCGGAGATGATGATGACAATGATGACAGCTAAAGGAGCGACGCCTACCAACCATTGTGTCGGCAGCTATTAGTGGTGGCAACAGTGATAATCGGATCATGTATGTTTCTATGGCAGAGTTTGATTTGCAATGGAATTGTTGAAGTAGATCCTTGGAGAATCTTGATCGGAGAAGCGTTATGAGAAGTGGACAGTGAAGGTAAGATCAGACTATTTCGTAGGCTGCCGAAGGGAAAAGCATGAAGATGAACCCTTCAGCAGCTCAAAATTTTGAAAGACTAGATGTTGTCCAGATTAGAAAACCAACTCTAATACCATATTAATTCATATCGAGGAGAGCTTTCTATACATTGATAGAGTTATCTTACATGATATATATACACATACAATAGCATATGGATAGAGTATGGAGGTAGGCTTATCGATATAGTTATTGAGGCGGTGATACAATTGTTCATGATAATATTTAACAAAGGTTATTTAGATTCCATGCTCATATCTAGCTAGCCAAGTAATGTTTCATCGATTTATCACACGCTTCTTCACTGATAGAGTTGGGTTCAGATCCTATGAGTATAGCCTAATCCACGTCTATGTGCATATTGTGCACCGTTCTTGTTAGATTGGTTGTCGTTATAAGAACTTGCTAATGGGCTATGCCATGGATTCACTTTGATCTTCACATCTCAATTAGTTAGAGTGTGTGACCGATCTAAGAATTTCCTTTATTTATGTATCATCTTATTTAGAACTGAGGCAGCATCCGTGACCAGATGCTCTTGGGGTGAAACAATTTTAAACTGCTCAAACTCTTACTCTTTGGTGATGGGACCATGTAAATCCAGATCCACCGCACAATTCTTCCATTAGGATTGGCCAAAATAGATGCCTTATGGGGCTTATCTTTAGAGTTGGCCTTTTGCATATACATGCATGCCATTAGCATTACTGGCTATTGGTATCGAGACTGGAGGTTTAATGGATAGCTATCTGGTTTTTATTTTATTTTTTTGAAAAGGTAGCTAAGCACAGGCTAAAGTAAAGGATGTTACACAACAAATAGATCAGAAGAGTTAAGGGAGGAGCAGAAGAAAAGCACAGCAGGATGAGATAATTAAGAGGTCCTGCAAGCTTGACTTGTCAGAGTATGCTCTGTCCAGAATTTTGCCAGGGAAGCTATCCTACGTTATACAGATGAAACATGCATAGCTTAGATTTTCTTTATCAGTTTATAAGAATAAGGCATTGTCCTATTCTTCCGCTGCCCTTTTCCTCTTCTGGTGGATATGGTACAGCTATCCCTACCTGAACATTTAATCAACAATTTTACCTGTTTTAGTCTTCTTTGCTCTTTCCTAAGCTGATTTCATATTCTTCTTTCTTTGGAAGTTGGTGTCATTTCTCTTAACCTTACAATTTTTTCAACCTTCTTGTTAGCTAGCTAAACTTCAAATTTCTGACTTATAAGAACTGTTGAACAGTTTTCTTTAACTTAACTATATCAATAAATATTTCTGTTTTTATTTACTTTCTATACTAGCTCATCATATTCTTGAAATCCTTATGAATGATATGCATGACTCAGTCAATAAATCTCTTCTTCTGACTGCAGTATATTTAATGTAAACTATGATAAGCAGTAATCATCAGATAGATTTACCCGATGGTCTTGATGAGGCTCATGTTAACCCACAGAGCGGAACATCTAATGGAGATACTACTGGTGAAGACATTACACCAAGTTCTAGTGACAATATGCTAAGGTTGGATGACTCGTATATTCAAGAAGATGGCAATATTGGGTGAGTTGTTTTAGTTTTTCTGGAAGATGTATCACCAACTAGCTCTTACTAAAATGATTTCTTTACTTCTATTTTCAGTACCGTCGAAAAGAAGAAAAAGAAGAAGGCATCAAGAATCATTGGATGGGGACTGAGACGGTTCAGTACAATTGGTGAGGATAATTGGCTATGTAGAATATTCTCTAGCAGTCTCCCCAACCTTTGGTCTTGGTCTTCTTTATTTTCTGTTTTTTTCCTCCTTGTAATACTTTCTATTAAGAGAAAAAAAAACATTTGTATGGGTTTTATATGGAGAATTGTATTGCTGATGCCTGCAAGTTTTCATATATTACTAATGCGAATGGATATATGCGAGTTTGCTAGAATAACTTTCGCATTTTTTTTCTGGAAATTATGATGTTTCACGAAGTTAATTGTCTTCAGCTATAATTCACTAAATATTCTTCTCGTCTTCAGTTTGTCGGAAGGTCCAGGCAAAGGGAAGAACAACATACAATGAGGTGAGGTGCAATCTGGCGGCTTGCATTTATCTTTCTGTTTTCTGGATTTCATACTATGACTGAAATTGCAAATTGATTGTCCGAACTTTTAAGTATCTCATTGCTCATTTGTGATATAACCATGCCCATGCGATTTATATATATGTTTAGTTTTGACATTGAAAAATAAAGATAAAAGAGCAGCTACGTCCAGCATCCTGATGAACTATATGTTTCAGAGGCTATACTTAAGTGCTTCATGGCTAGACATGTCTTCTGATTGTTTATGAAGATATTATTTGTTTCAACCATTGATTTTCCTGTGGTTTAGTCATATGCTGTGGGAATTCGTATTGGTTACTATTGGATTCTCTGGAAGGAGGATTGCAATCTCCCCCAAAGAGCATGACAGCTGATGGAGTCAACTAAGAATTGGGTGTTCATTCAAAAATCTCTTGTAGGAGGAAATGGCGATTATGATAGTGTTATCCAGCTTACTAGATCCATGTGTTGCTAAAACTATCATATTTACTAGAAGCTACTTGGCATTTCCAACTTCGCTTGTCACTTATAAATGGATTTTCATTGAAATGAAATATTTTATTCTTCATCAACTCTATTTCACCTAGTTTAAAGCATGGAAACCAACAGCACCGTCAAGATTTTAAGATCACATGGCTGAGTGACATTTAAAACTCGTAGTGTAGAATTGTAGCCTCTGTTACATGTCACATGGGCACATGAAAAGGTAGTCAAACCTTCGGATGCAGAAATGTCCAGTAACTTTGTATGCGTAGACATGTCACTCATGGATCTACATGCACGCTTGATAATAATATCTGCCAATTTCAAGAATAAATTAGTATAATACAGATGTATCATTTTTCAAGAAACAATTTTTGTGTTCTATCAGAGTTGTGATATTGTTGCAATTTTAATAATTTAATGCTGTGAACTGGTGCCAATTTCTAGGAAGTTTTCCCAAACGGCAGTGTCCTAAAGTTCAGGTTTCTCTATACTCAAGATATATGACACCATCAAGCAACAGACACTATTTGAAACTGAAGATTATTTTGAATGACCTCTTACCTTGGTTATCATGAATGTATCTGACTGCTTGATAGGATTTTTCATTTAAGTAGAAATTAGTTGATGAATATAAGCTTAAAAATGTTAACAATTTTGATCTGAAGAAGTGTCTACTTCCAGGTTGCAGATGAAATCATAGCAGAATTGTCATCTGGGGTAAGGATGTGGAAAAGCTATCTGCTTTCTTATCATCAAATTTTGGATGTATGTGCGATATTTTGTTGGACGCTATGCAAATAATTCATTTGGACCTAGTTGTGTATCCTTGAGCAGTTTGACGAGAAGAACATTAGGAGAAGAGTCTATGATGCCTTCAACGTTCTCATTGCTATAAATGTTATCGCAAAGGATAAAAAGGAGATAAGGTGGATAGGCTCTCCTATTACAAAAACTGAGCAAGTCAAACACCTAGAGGCATGTTCTAACTCTTAATTAATAAATATATCACCATATTGCTTCACATAGGCTTTTATTTGCTTATGTGATAATTATGATGGCATTGTGCGTTTCATTTATCTGAGTTGTTGAATGCCAGTGATTTTTATTTTTAAATCTGAATTCTGTGCTCCTCTTATAGGAAGCGCACGTGAATATGATGAGTAGGATACAAACAAAAACAAACTACTTAAGAGAACTGGAACGCCAAGTAAGTCCTATGTTTTAACAACTTCAAAGGTTTGTTATCCTATTGGCTTGCTTGCTTTAGTAATTTCTTTTGTATCCATGCTTGATTAATTTATCCAAGTGAGATACCAATTTAGTTGTTAATACTACTTTCTAGTTGATGACTAAGCAACCCATATTTTTGTCATTAAAGCTTGTGGATTTGCAAAACCTTATGCTGCGGAACCAGCAATTGCACCAATCAGGAAATGTTGCTTCTGAAGGCATTCATCTGCCATTTGTGTTGGTTCGAGTATGTTTATTTTCCTTTAGTTTTAGTTCTACTATTACATTTATTCAAATTGTCTTTGGAGAGATTCATCTTGCCCTTTTTTAAATAGATTCTTTTTTCCTCTTTAATAATAGATTCAGTCCCTTCTGTCCTTTTGCATGTCACAGTCAATTTTTATTTGGTAGGACCAAACTTCTTGCATGATCTCAACAAATAAAACTGTTAATTATCTTTTTCTTTTATTTTTTTTCAAAAAAATTCACAAGAAATTAGATAATCCTGTTAGATTTTTACTTGACTGAAATGGAGATACCAGCCATTCTTCAGTGTGAAAGTCTTTTAGGACACTGACACTTCTTCGAGAATGTTGCCTTTTGCTATGCTACCAGAATTAAGACATTGTGGTGTCTGATTTCTTTCATCTGTCACATTACCTTTCTGTACTCCCTCAACCTCCTGAGCTCTTATGTTGAACTTAGATTTGATCCTTTAGTTCTGCTTCTTTTGTTATTCCTCCACACTGTAAAATACCAAAAATATCCTGTGGATCCTTTTTTTGGTGTTTACATTGGGGAAAGGCTTTATTATTTGTTTTATTTTTTTTCCTATTTTTGCTATAATTTTTAATCTTCTGTTGAACAGGCACATCGAAAGGCTACTGTGGAGATTGAGATATCTGAAGACGCACAGTTGGTGCATTTTGACTTTAACGAGTAATGATGCTCTTTCCTCTCTGTTGATAATTATATATTTCTCAATTTTCTCTGCTAACATATGAGGCTGAGCCCTTCCAAGAAAAGAACCTAGTTTGCATCCATGGTTTTCTCCTATAATCCTGTACTAATATATTTATTTTCATTTTTCATTAGAAGTCCATACAGTTTATATAATGAGCAAGCCATCCTCAAAATGATGAGATGCCCACATGTAGTTGAACCGGAGCAGACATACAGGAATTCATCAATAGAATCTCTCATCAATGACCAAAGCAGCAGACCATTGAAATCATCTTTGTTTTCGTGGAACTCTGAGATGATGAGCATGAAGAATTAAAAAAATACGACTTGCAACTGTTGGCATATAATAGAGGTATGACGAGGAAGTGGTGGGTGGGATCCTAACTTTGCAGTTTTTGCTTTCCTTGGGAACTTTCAGGATTTCGCGTGATCACAATGTGAAGCGAAGAGGTTCTTGTTGTTTCCTTCTCTCTTGTATATGTTGGAAAATTGTGTCTGATAACTGATGTTTTAGTTTCTACCTAACACTGTTGACGGGATACTCTTTTTTCTTGCTAACGAGGACATATTAATGTCCGTTACAAAAAGAAAATGTTAAAGCATCCATATTGTGTAGATCATGAGAATCAAACTCAAAAAGTTCTTAGTATTGTCTTTGACATCTAATCTAATGAGTATGATTGGTCTCATTTGATGATGTGAAAAGTATCTGAAACATTCTCTTTTCAGTTTTTCTTTTCCAGACATAAATCTTAGGGCTCTTACGTGATGGAAATAAAAGGAAAAAATTGCTGAAAAATTCTAAGATCTGAAATAATTATGAACTTGAAAAGAGCTACTCGTGTAGTAACTTTTTGCCAGTCTTCTTGCTGCATTCGATGAAGTGCCGAGTCAGTTCAGGCAATGGGAGAAGTGAGGGGAGGAAAGAGAGAGAGTTGGAAGAAGAAAGGGGAAGCTTTTGGGTGGGGTTGGGGGGGGAGAAGTGAGGGGAGGAAAGAGAGAGAGTTGGAAGAAGAAAGGGGAAGCTTTTGGGTGGGGTTGGGGGTGTAATAAATGTTTCTATTTTGTTGGGGAGTTGGAAGAAGAAAGGGGAAGCTTTTGGGTGGGGTTGGGGGTGTAATAAATGTTTCTATTTTGTTGGGTTCACAAAGGAGTCGGATTATGTTTCTTTGTAAGTTTTGAGACAATTCTTTTGCTAAAAAATATTCTCATTGAGAAAAATGCTTTTTAAGACCAACTAAATATTTAAGCTACAATGAACAACTATGTATATTTTTGTATGGAATTTCGCATGCCCTTTCAAATCGAGTATTAGCTGAGATATTTTAACATTCAGGAGAGACTATTAGCAGATATTATAATAATGTGCTTAATGCTATATTATTTTTGATGAGATAATTATTTATAAATTTTTAATAAGGGCGAAAGTGATATTTTTTTTTAAAAAAATAATGATATTAATCTCCTTAAACCCTCTTCACTTGCCAAACACAAAAGACTTAACCCCTTATCTTAAAACTATCGTATTTAAACGGCTTTAGAATTTATTTAACCCATCACGATGAGTCGCATCGACATTCTGAGGGGTTGACAGTGGTCCAAAATTAAAAAAATTAAAAGTTTGCATAAGAAGCAAGAGAAACTCTGAAAAGAAAAGTGCAAAATGATGAAGGACCTCAAAGTAGCTGAGGTCCAAAATACTAGGACAAAATAATCCTAACCAATATGGTAAACAACAAAAAAAGTCCTAACTAAGATGGTAAGCAGTTGAATTTATTTATTTATTTATTATTATTATTTTTTTGAAAAGGTAAGCAGTTGAATTTAAAGACCAAGGGAGATACAAAAAAAAGCTGCTAAGATGATGGATAGTGATTGAATTAAGGATTTACTCGTGGGATCGTTATGTAAGAATTCAAGTGACAAGAGCGTACAACCCAAGATGCCTGATTTGACTGGGACAAAACCTAGAGATATTGATCCAATCATTTACATTGCGTACACACTAAATCTTGTAACAGTAGCGGATCTACATAGTGATCGATAACGAGTCTGCACAAGAGGATTGCTTACTTTATATATTTTTAATTTACTTTTACATGTCTACTATTTAGGACACCACTGAGGATGAAATTGTAAAAGTATCAAAATATTTACTTTTACTTATATTTATCCTTCATGCTTTTACTATTTTACTTTTAATGAAGTAATAAGTCATGGAGGCACCAGTGAGACAAAATCCTGGATCCGACAAGGCTTGTAATTGAGCTACAAATCTGGTATAAGAGACGCATGATAATCATGCAAGAAATACGCTAAGGGTCCTATCAGAATCACCTTTGTAGGAGTGAGGTGATTCACACCATTGACAGTTGTTAGTAAAATAATGAAGGAGACAGAACTTCTGAGGTATGAAACACTTTCCTTAAAGAAATATTTACCCCACTTGATATTCAAATTTGCTTCGAGTTAATGCAAATTTTCTTCCCAGGATATAATAGAAAAATTGAAAATTTCAACAAGCAAATCTGTAATTTTTTATCAATTCTTTGTGAAACAAGTTTGCAGTATTGCAGATGTTTCTTTTTGAGAGAAATGTTTTGTGAAAGAAGTGCATTTAGATGTTGGAAATAATAGACTATTTATAAGTTTGAAAATGTATTTCCAACACTCATAACTTTTCAAAACACCATTTGGAAAAACAATCACTTTTCAACACTCTTCTTTCAAGTTGATATTTTAATAATTCAAAATTTTAAAATAACAATAATAGTAGTAAAGAAATAATATACTCAAATATATATATATATAGTAAAAAGATAGAATATTTTAATAATCACGTTAAAATTGCGCATTATTTGCACTACTCGCCCGCAGGTTTGGAGGTCTATACTTTGACCCATTTATCAAAACCCAATAAGCATTAAATGTTTTTAAACCTCTAAAAGAATGCTCAAATATCTGATGTGGGACTATCTTGTTTTTTTAGAAACAAATACTAACAGAGAGGATGTTCAAAATTACCAAACCAAACTCTCTAACTAGGGGTGTCCAATCGGACCAATGCTTGGACCCGACCCGATGTCTGGACCGGACCCGGTCGGGCCAGCACCTGGCTTGGACCCGGGAAAACCTGGGTTTACGTACCAAACCAGGCTATAGGTCTAGGTCGCCTCTGTGAAACCCGCACCGGGCCCGGCCGGGCCCGACCAAGAAAATGGCAAAGCCGGGGAACCCGAGTCCGAGTCTGACCCGGGTCGGGGTCCGGACCTGGCGGCGGAAGTTGGACCGGGCCATTCGGCCCGGCCCGAGGCCTAACGGTTAAAAATTGATCGTGGACTAGGCGGCCGGACGCCGGCCCGGTCAGACGGTCAAAAGGACTATGGCGTTCTGCTGGCGCACCGACCGGCCGTGGTCAGAATGATCAATTTTATGAACGTTGGACCGGGCGGCCCGTACTAAAGGTCACAAAATTGACTGCTGGAGCGGACACAGCCCGGTTCAGTATGCCCAAATAGCCTAAAATGGCTATTTTTTGGTTATTTGACCAAAACACCCCCCAAAAATGGTTAAAAAGGATAAAAATTGGAGGGTGTTTCGGTAATTTTGCTAGGGAGTTGCTTCTATAAATAGAGGGGGTTTTCATTTATTTTTCTCATTCAAAACTCATCTACTTCTCTCTAATACTCTCTTATACCCTCTAATTCTTCAATCAAATGGCTTCCTCCTTCGATTATGAAGGACAAGTTCCAACTCTTGATAATGAAATTAGTTCTACTCATACTTCTACCACACCTACCGAAGCTGCTCCTCTACCAATGTTGATCCGGAATATGGTGGCGATGATGCCATACCTAGAGCTTCTACAAAACCGAGATCCGATGTGTGGAATTTTTTTTTTGAGGAGATAGAAATCACTAGGGATCAACACGGTAAACTTCTCACGCAAAAGGCTAAATGTGCGTTGTACGATCATATTTTTCAAGCTCATCATAAGAGCGGTACCAATCACCTCAAATGTCATTTGGGAAAATCCAACAGAGCTCAAGTGGCAACATCTCAAGGAGACATCAGTCAATCTCTATTCTCTCAATCATTAACCTCCGGTAGCCTCGATTCCTGGAACTATGATGCAATTTAAGTCAGGAAATGCGTCATCAAGTTTATTATTCTTAAAAACCTTCCTTTTAAAATAGTTGAAGATGATGAATTTGAGGATATGATTAAATATGGTTTTTATCCCTCGTTTCAAAAAAAAATCTCATCAATCTTGTCAATGTGACATTTTAAAATATTATCACGATGAACAAACAAAAATAATTTCTTATTTTCAAAACTTAAACTATAAATATTCTCTAACTTCTAATATTTAGACATCTATAGCACAAACTGGTTATTTATGTATTACAGTACACTGGATTGATGATACTTGAACAAATGTTTAAAAGAGTTATTTCTTTTATTGCATTTGAAGATCCACACTCTGGTGTTAATGTTGCAAATTTAATAATCCAAGAATTTTTAAAATAAGAAAATTCTGGATTTTTTTTTCTTTTACTAGATAATGTAAGTAATAATAATGGACCTATGGATCAAATCAAATCATCTTTGTCATTGCCGTGTCAGAGTGACATTTTTTTTCATATTAGATGCATGTGTCATATTTTAAATTTAATTATTTAAAGTATATTTAATAAAAATAAACTCCTGATAGAAAATGTTAGGGTTATAGCTTATGCTCATAATGCTTCTGAACAAAGACTTAAAAGATAAAAATAATTATGTAAAAAAATTTAAAACGCAATTTAATTCCAAAAGATGTTGACCACAGGTGGAATTCCACTTATGCAATGTTAAATATATCAGTGGAGTATAAAAAATTATAAATAATTTTATTGCTTCCTATGCTTTTAGTTCTAGCTCTGGTAGTATGTATAAAATAACTGATGGATAATAGACAGTTATACATAGTATAAAAGAGATGCTATAAGTTTTTTATGAAGCTAATATGTTATTATCCAACTATTATTCAAGCTGCTTTACAAGTTTTAAGTATTCAAATTTTTTTTACTAACTATCGTATAAATAATTATTTTGAAAACAAGATTTTTCAAATGGAAAGTAAATTTAATAAGTATTTTAGACATATTCCTCTTATTTTTGGTTTGGGAGTTCTTATTGATCCATGCTTGAATGATACTGGCCTTCAAATTTTGTTAAATTCTTTGTATGAGAATATGATAATAGACACTAATAATGGTCACAATGTTACTGCACTTACTCATCATAACACTATTAAATATTATCTTTAAAGATTATGTAATGAGTATGCAGGTAGATATGGTGTAAGTACACCTCAACCTATATCTTCTACGAGTTCAAGACAGGGCAAATGTAAGATTTTTGATAGGCAATCAATGAGAGTGAGGCTAACTAGTAGTCCTAAGATCTGGATCTGGATCTAGATCATCATCAAAGAAAATTTCTAAAATTGAATAATATTTAGCTGCACCTTTAGTTAATTCTCAAAATAATAATTTTGATATTTTACAATGGTGAAGTATATATAGAACAGTTTCACATCCTATACTTTCCATCATGGCTCATGACTTACTAACAGTGTACGTTTCTACAGTAGCCTCGGAATTCGCCTTCAGCATATCAGGACGTTTGATCGATGACTACAGAA